CAGCGTGCACTCGCTACAACAACATCGGAAGAATATCTGAGGCCACCGCAGAATGACGGCTATGGTGATTTGGGCACGTTCGTCGTCGTTCGCTTCAGGGGCTTAGTGTTGCTGTCCTCGACACGCGCTGTTGCCCATCTGGTGGCCTCGTAGGAGAGGCCACCTCAAAACCTGACACATGACAGTTAGTCAGGGCATGGCAATAGTTCTTGGACCTTCGATATGCGGTCTCCGTCGCTGGTGGGAATAGACCGAGCTGTCCGGATGTGTCACGCGTAGAAGTGTACAGTCTCCACGACTTCATCAATGCTGGTTAAACCAGGTGTGATCACAGCTGTATCAGCAACAAAATCAGCAATGCGCTGATTGGTTGCAGGCTGACATGACTGAGGCGCATGGAGGCACCTCGCGTCGCGACCGGCAACGCCAACGGTTAGTCCTCGGCACAGTGAGACAACAGACTTCTCTGTACGTTCCCTGCCACAGTAATGACTGTCCTACCGATTCTGTCCCCTTGGCGCTTGATTTGGGAAACCTCTCATTATTGGCTAGCGCACTCCCTATGAGGCAATCGGAGGTCAACATTTCCCAAAGTCTGCACAGTCGCTAAGGTAGATGAGATAACACTTCGGTCACATATATGTAGAAATAAGAGACGCGTCAGGCCGGCTCTCACATGGGTACTGGCTTGCAAACATTCTTATCAGCAAATGCCTTCAAAATACACCCAGGCAAGTACAATTTCATAGTGGGTTTTATACCAGACTAACAACTACAAAGATAGGTTCTAGAGCACACATTCCACGGAGACAGGAGAGGGTCTGTGTGGTGGGGATGTGGAGAGGCGCATTTAACGTACACCGACCAAGCATAGAATAAGTGTGGCGGATTCGAAAAGTTCGTAGAAATTCAGACGCCAGTTGCTCGAAACCTCTCATGCTCTTTTCAGTCCGTGATGACTTACAACCAACATCAGAAATCGAAAGCGCAGCACATATGTAAATGGTCTGCCTACGAGGTCTGACCGCCGAATAACTGGTGAAAGTCAAAAGAAAATCCATCAGAACAATGCCGCCGGCTAGACCGCATCTGTAGACTATTTGCGGATGCACTGGTGGTGGGAATACCCAGTAACGAACGGTAGCTGGTGGAATGTTGGCCGCTCAAAATGTAAATTGCATTAGATTGGCGAATTGACGCTGACCACTCGTGTCATCCACTGACCCATCTGCTTTTGCCAGACCAGGTTCTGATAGTAGTCTCAGCTGTAGGCGGTGCGTGAAAAAGGTAGCTCTTACCGGGATTTTAATATAGATGCAAATTCTAGTTTCTCTGGAGCAGGATCTGTCACTCATGTGGGATACAGGAGTGGATCTGAAACGTCGGATATGCAAAACTCCTGTCCTACAGTTGGCGGGATAACTCACAAAATGTCATCTGAAATTCCGAAATGCGTTTTCGTTTGGAAAAAATTGATTAAGCAGGGCCGTTAAACAAATTAACCTGCAGGACAATTCTATAATAATTTAGTTACCTCGGGATGCCGGCTTTCGAATGAACTTCCTTCTGGCTGCATGTAAAAACTATGCATGTAAGAAATGACTACTTAAATAGCATGAATTTTTGTCTTTGATTTTCGATGTCTCTATAATTTTAATTATATTTCATGGAAAACCTTAGAAAACTATTTATTCTTCCGCTCATTCGGTAGAAAATTACGTCTTCTTTCAATTTTATACTCGAAGAAGGGACATAATTCGGTTTTAAAAAAGTTTATAATTGTGAGACTTTTAAATACCGTGAAATGGCCGTCCATAAAACGTCAGGTCTCTACATTTACGAATGCGGCTTGTAAAGTTGGCAATATGTATCAAATCAAATGCCAAAGTTTATGCACCCCATACGACCTCCCCTCAAATTTGCGGTTTTACCTACGCGGCAATTACATGGCTTGTAGTTTGGAAACCCTGACAGTGTGACAGCTGAGCGGGTTCAAAATTATTCGGGAAATGGAAGTTTTTTAAAACCGAATAATACCCTTCCGTCGAGTATAACATTGGAAGAAGACGTAAATTTCTACCGAATGACCGGAAGAATGAATATTTTTATTTATGTTTTCCAGGAAAAAATAATTGGACTTTTAGGGTCATGGAAAATCAATGAGAAAAACGCATGCTACTTAAGTAGCCGGTTTCTGCAGAGTATAGTTCTTGTATGCAGCCGGAAGGAAGTCCTTTTGAAAGCCGGCACCCTGAGGTAACTGAATTATTATAGAATTATGCTGCGCGACAGTTAGTTTTAGAACCCTTCTTAATTAATCTTTTTGAAACGAAAACGCATTTCGTAATTTCGGTTGACGTTTCATAAGTAAGTCCACCTACTGTAGATAGAGGCTAAACTACTTTATTCCCCTGGGAGTTGGTGTTTTGGCGGTGATCCACCGAGCCCAAGGTCACTTTCAGTCCTCGGAATCAGTCTTTTCAAGTAAATACTGTCGAGATAGAACGAAAAAAGCAAGAGGGGCGAGGGATGACACATTTCAATCCCCTCACACCCTAGGGTGGAACGTGCGCAAGTCAACACTGTTGATCACTTGACTGTGGTCAACGCTGAAATCGAAAGGCGAGCCGCTGTTCTCTCTCACTGATCGAAGATGATGGTGGGGCGGGAGGGGTGACGCATCGTATGCCTTCTCATCGTAAATTAGAACGTCCACCAGTCACCACTGTCCTTTCACTTAGAGTCGTTGTCCTCTTTACCCCATCGACTATGCTGGTGGGTGTCGAGAAGGCCGACTAAAGATAGGACGAGCAACATTAGACAAGCAATGTCTCGGCCCGCCTTTTGCTTGATTGACCTGTGGCCTGTCAAGTGATCGACCGGCGGTGGTTGTTTCCACAAGATACTTGCGTTTTCACACCTTACAAAGTTTGTAGGATAGGCAAGAAAAAGCTTTTCTCGAGAACAGGGCCTAATTACGCAATCTGGCACTTGGCATCGCCGACGCTGTGTCCGACAGTTCTGAGTGCTTAGTCTAGTAAATCAAGGTGTGGATGGAGCCGTTAAAGTCAGAACACGGACAACTCACCGGTGGTTTACAGTTCATTAAAACAACAGCAGTCGCGAGCAGGTTTTGTGGACCTGAGCCAATAACTGCTGTCCTACATGGGGGTGTGGCATAACTAGACGTGGGCCTCCACGCGCCGTCATCCACTGCACTCAGTCGCAACATCAACTGGTTGACAGAGCTGGCATTGGATGACACTCCCCAGGGCACATGAGCTCCTTCCTTACTAATAACCAATCTGACACACCTGAATACATCATAACGCGGCTTGGAAACCTGCTTACTGGCGGGATAAGTAGGTCCTTCTCAGGACGCGGAAAGTCAGGCTTAATCACCTCATGTGAGATTCGAGACACTCTCATGGAGGCCTCGTAGAGGCCGCGGGGACCAGACGGTCGGTGGCACACCTCCGTCACTGCGCCCGAGTCCACTGACTTGACATTTTCATTGCAGCCACCTATGTGATGGAGGGGAGCGTGGTAGGCCTGCCTAGCTACATACTAATTCATGCGCAAGTTCTCCGATGCTGCGTCCAGCCCGTGAGATACGCGGCGGATGCCACAGTTTGCGACGATCAAACAGTCTTCGAACAGTACAGGCTAACCAGGCGCACTCTCTCGTCTGTTGAACAAGCAGTCGCGAACAGCCGGTCTCCCTTGTCTTTGTCGGTAATGTCATTCTGCCTATATCATGCACCGCTGTGCGGCCGCTGGTTGGGCTCGAGATAGAGCCCGCGAGGCACAACGGAACGACTGAGTTTCGTGGGAACGATCGGTGAGCGCCCCCTACTATTGTATATTCCCGATCGAAACCGACAGGGCAACGGGCTCGTGAACCAATGGTTAGAGGCGTGGACTTCTAGCTAGCAGGTCGCGAGTTCGAGGCTCAGGTGTCCCACACTTCGGGGTTGGGCATGTCTGGCTGACGACGGCTAATAGGCCAGAAACGGCCATTTCAGTCTCCCTAGTCTTTG